GGTTTCTAACTCACGTTTACTATATAAAACAATAGATAGTTTTAGTAGTAGTGGTAAATTTTTTTAGGGTTAATTATCAAAATAAGACTAAAAGTCACTCACTTTGCACAAACAGGAACAAAAAATAAACTATGTTTTCATAGGACTAATTATGTGTGTCTTGGACAAATATACCCTTATAGCTATTGAAATGTTTTAATTCATAATAAAATAATAAAAAAATATAAAAAATTCGTAAAAAATACTAAAAATTAATAAAAATATTTCGATAATAATAATAATTAATTAATTTATTTATTTTCAAAAAAAAATTAAAAAATTAAAAACTCAAAAAAATTAAAAAAAAATCACCGCCGCCTCTGCACCACCACCTCCAGTCATCTGGGGAAAAAATGTCAATTTCATTACGAATGCCATATTTATGGCAGAAAACAATGAAAATGTTGGCATTCTCAAAGAGAAATATGCCATGTTTTTGGCATTTTCAGAAAAAATGACAGTTTTTAGGAAAAATGACATTTTTTTCACAGCTCGGAGATAGTGGTGCAGGGAGGTAGTACAGGCGGTGGGAAAGGCATCCATTTTTTTTTTAATATTTTATGGAGTTTTACTATTTTTTATTATTTTTTTTTTAAAAAATAATTTTTATTTTATAAATATTTTATAAATTTCTTAATTATTTTTCTACGAATTTTTGATTTTTTTTCGAATTTATTATGAATTAAACATTTAATGAACTCATATATAAAGGAAGGGTAAGAATGGAAATGAAAAAATAGGTATGTTTCCAATAGGACTAATATGATCCTATTTTGAAAAAAAACATAGTAAGTCCTATTTTGAATTTTTGCCATAGTTTTAGTCCTATTTGTAGTAATTTCTAATTTTTTATTACCCAATAATAGATTGACACATAATTGATTTTTAACTCAATTTTATTATATAAACCAATAGATAATATTTTTTTAAATTTTATATATGTCATATTGGTGTCATACGAAAGATCATAAAAAATTATGAATTTTGATATACTATTCGTATGAATTCAAGTATAAATACAAAAGTTATGTCACCATAAAAATAAAGAGTTATTTTCTCTTTCCTTTGCTCAAAATAGCCGTCCACAATTGTAGGACCGAATAATTTGAATGAAAGGTGACTTAATTAATTGTTTTAGTAATAGTGATATTAATTCTTTTCTTATCCAATTAGAGACTGACATTTCTAACTCAACTTTACTCTATAAAACAATCGTAGATTTTACGGTGCAACCGGCGCACCATTAAGATGCTGCGCCCGGTTGCAAAACGACGCAGTACCAGGCCTGGCTCCATTATTTTTTATTGCTTTTCTTGTTAAAATTTGGTAATAACTTTTTTTATTTTTGATCCGATTTTTATAAAATTATATCAACATTTTTTATTTTTCATGATCTTTCAAATGAGACCAATATTGCTTATGTAATTTTAAGAAATTATCGAACTATTATATTAATGAGTATTGGATTATAAGGAAAATCGAACTAAATTTAATATAGAAAAATAATTGTGTAAATCACGATTTATTTTAAAATTGTGTATATAAAAATTTTATTGTATTATGTATTTATACATGTGAGTTACATATTTTTATACAAAAAGTTACATATTTTTACACGTAAAGTTACATATTTATACACACGAGTTACATTTGGCTTGCCTGAACGCGAGTTACATATTTTTACACGTAAAGTTACATATTTTTACACGTAAACTTACATATTTTTACACGCGAGTTACATATTTATACACAGGAGTTGTATTTGACTTATCTGAACGCGAGTTACATATTTTTACACGTAAAGTTACATATTTTTACACGTAAACTTACATATTTTTACACGCGAGTTACATATTTATACACAGGAGTTGTATTTGACCTATTTGAACGCGAGTTACATATTTTTACACGTAAAGTTACATAGTTTTACACGTAGAGTTACATATTTATACACACGAGTTACATTTGGTCTGACTGGACGTGAGTTACATATTTCTACACGTAAAATTACATATTTTACATATGTTAATATAATAGTTCGATAATATGTTAAAATTACATAAGCAATATTGGTCTCATTTGAAAGATCATGAAAAATAAAAAATGTGGATATGAATTTTATAAAAATCGGATCAAAAATAAAAACGTTATTACCATTTGTTAAAAAAAGAGATAAAAAATAAAGAAGCTGCTTACCAAAAACGGTATGCCGGTATACGGTGCTCAACGTATATCGGTCATACGGTATAACGCCTGTAAAACATTAGATAGCTCACCATTGGAGTATTGCTTTTTCTTTTGTTTGAGAAAACTAATTAGCCAAAATGAACTACTAGCTTGAGCAAAGAAAATTATTAGATATAGCACAATTATTAATAAATGAAGAGGTGACCGGTGAAGGTTTGAGTCAAGCGATAGTGGCTAATCTTTTTGCAATTGATCGTCAGGAGTGGGACTTCGACTTGGTCAATGACATTTTTTAACCCAAGAGATTCAGTATTAATTAAAGAGACTCCTTTAAGCTGGAGATAGATTCCCGATTCTTTATGTTGGAGGTGGGAAGAAAGTGGTCAGTTTTCGGTGAGGAGTTGCTATCGAAGATTGGTAAGGGAGGTGGGACGCTCCGGGAGCCTAGACTAGACGGTTATGTGGGGGTGGCGGTTACCACCTAAAATTAAATTGTTTTTTGGCAGGTGTGCATCGGATGCCTCCTGATGAGGGACAACTTCCAGGGTCGTCGGGTGGATTGCCCAGGATCATGCGGTCCGTGCAGGGATGCTAGGGAATCGCTGGAGCATATATTTCGGCAATGCTCATTCGCTTGTGAATCATGGGCAGCGTTGTCGTGGCATTGGTCGGGTGGGGCTAAGATATCATTCATGGAGAAAATAAATTTAGAGTTTCTCACTAGGAGAAAGGAGGATGTGGAGAGAATTGTGTTGGGTTGTTGGGCTATTTGAAGTGAACGGAATCATCGTGTTTGGTAGGGAAAAGCTTCTTCGGCGCAACAGATTATCAACCAAGCAAAAGCCATGGTTCAAGGTTGGACTCAAATACAGGGGAGTCGTCTGAACAAGGGGCAGCAAGAATTGCTCTCACGCAGCACTTGGTGCAGGGCGACAACAGGTGGTTTGAAGCTGAACGTGGATGCGACAGTCCGTGCGAATGGAGGTGGTCTTGGCTGGTGTGTGCGGGGTGACAACAGGAGATTCATTGCGGGGACTGCATGCGCGTGGCCGGGGAGAATTACACCGATGAATGCAGAATTAATTGGGATCCGGGAGGCCCTTAACTGGCTCAAAGGATTTGGATGGATCTCGGTGGAGGTTGAGGCAGTGGCGGATCTTGCGTTCAAAAGTTGGGTGTTCAAAATTAATCTATCATCAAAATGTTGAACAAATAAATTTTTCGATCCAACAAATGAATATATATTACTTTTTCAACAACAACAAAATGGAAAATAAGATTAAATGCAAGATATATTATCTAAAAATACATTATATAAATTATTACATCAATTCTATAGGTATATTTTAACATTTTATTTTTAATTTTTTGGGTGTTCACGTGAACACCTTTGCACAAAAGGGATCCGCCACTGGGTTGAGGCATCCGTGAATTGGCGAAACGTTTTTTCGTTCATTACTTTCAGAGGCGGCTTGAGCATTTTGGAGGCCCAGACGAAAAATATTTACTATGTACAAATCACTTTTAAAATCAGATAAATTGAATAAAAATCGCCTTATGAAAAAAAGCATATTCAAAGTCCATGATATAATGTTTGTAATATTCAAAAGGATAAATTTTAAAATGCAAACTTATTCAAAACACAAGGCAAACTTGTACTTGTAAAAGTATTAAGAGACCTCAAGAACGAGACTCAGAGAGAAGAGTTGAAGAGTCTTAGTTGATTCACTAACCAAGGACTCATGTCGACGGCGGGCAGTGAGGCATATATACGGTAGCCGATTAGCGGTCTGTGTTGGACGTTGATGCGTGTTGAGATCGGCTTTTGATAGTTTTTCCTAACTTTAAGGTGTCATAAGTCTCAATTTTAAGCTCAAGTCATATTTACCGGCCGTTGGTTCGAGTTTTGGTATTTTTGGAGTCAAAATCAGGGATTTTGAGCCTGACACCACCGGTGTTTGAGAAGCAATAGGGATGAGTTGAGAAGCATTTTAGAGTTGATTAGGAGCATTGGAGATCAGTGAGGTGTTAAAGACAAAGTTTTGAAGACAAAAGAGCTCTAGAATTGGCTACGGGATCAAAAGAAGACGAATAGAGCTTGAAAACAGCGGTCGGGATGACGTTCTGTCAATCGTTCAAGCATATCTTTTCTTAGGAACATCCAAAAAAACATGATTGAAGTTTCATATGAAAACCAACTTCAAGGGCTACAAATCATATGAAGACACCATTGTGAGAATCTGAGAGAAGCAAGGTGAAAACAGACGATGAATTCAGACAATCTCTGTTGAGATTTCAAAATGCGATCTTCCACCATTTTATTCATATATTTTTATTGGATGATTCAAATCCAGTTTTGCAAGTTGTGTTGGATAGAAGACTTCATTAGCTACAACTTTGATGAAGGACGAATAGTCAAAAGTGAACTATAAAGCTGATTTCTACTTGCAGTTGCCGCTTGGTATATTGGCGGTCTGCGAATAACACCTAATACTAATACCAAAGTAGAATTTTTTGGAGGCCCCCTTGGTAGTTGAGGGCCAAGCCAGATGCCTGACCCAACTGCCCTCAAAGCCGCCCCTGATTACTTTTTGTCATATTAAGCGATCAACGAATAAGAGTGCTCATGCTTTAGCCAAAGTAGCTTGTTGTTTGTCTTATTTGGGATACTGGCTTTATTCACCACCGTATTTTATTGTATCTGCTCTGATGATATTATTAATACTAATTACTTTTTTTTCTTGCAAAAAAAATGAAGAGGAAGAAGTTATAGCTGACCACCGGAGTATATTTTAGTTTTGGTGTGTAGCTGAGGTATGAATTTAATTTGTTAACGAGGGAGATGCTCTAAGCCGGAACTCTCAATGCAGCAAGCCAACCCAGTCGATCACGTGAAATGCGCGTGATTTAGGGTTTTAGATTTTCTCTTTCCGCCTAAACTCATTCAAGAAAAATTAGCCATTTCTGAAATGAGATGAAATGAAGAAAGCATTCCATCGCCTTCTGCTACATCGTGTTCGATCTTCTAAAAGAAACACCAAGTTATGAGCAAGATGAGACCTGTCTTCTCCAGGCCTCTTTTTACCATCATCCTCCACTCTAAGAACGACTCCGCCATAATCACTAGAAAAAAGCTTTTCCAATTCGCCCCTTTCTCCACCGCCACATCCCAATCCTCACATCACTCTTCCTACCAATCTCGACGGAATGAAGAAGATGTACGTAACGTTAAGGTTTCTGTTTGGTGGGATTTCGAGAATTGTACATTGCCGCCCGGCGTCAATGTGTTCAGGGTCGCCCATAGCATCACTGCCGCCGTCAGGGCAAGCGGCATCAAGGGTCCCATCCAAATCACCGCGTTCGGTGATATAGTTCAGCTCCCGAGAGCCAATCAGGAGGCACTGTCTTCTACCGGAATCAACCTCACTCACATACCTAATGGTAAAAGCTCCTTACTTTGTGACTGCCTTTCTTTCAACTTACTTGTCTCACTTACTTGACTCAGGATAAATTTGCAAAAGTAGAACTTTGAATTTCTTGTCTACTTTACCCCCCCCCCCCCCCCCCCCCTCCATGACCGGTTCTTCCTTCTCTGCACTCCTCTGGCTCTGCCTTCTCAACCAACCATGGAAACAACATCTCTGTGCATGGATTCGCCGGAGTTTCTGGCTGGTAAACCTCCACTGGCTTCTTCTGCCAATCGAGTGACACAAAAAAATCATGGTCCCATTTTTGCACCCTCCTCATGTTTTAGTCCCATTTTGGTCATCTTTTCTAATATCTAAGCTAGTATTCCAAAATTAAAATTTATTGCACAAAGTTTTATTTAGTCGCAAAAGTTGATTTTAATATGAAAAGAATGTGTTACATAAACTTAGAAATTAAATGAGAGCTTGGTTGATCTAATTTAGTGAATAAGTCAATTAATTTGGGATAGAGAGTGTGTATATTTATTGGATTATTGCTATTATTATTGTTAGTGATCAACGAATATCAATGGATAGATTTAAAGACTTCATTTATGTAATCTGTTAATTACTTCATCATGGAATATGGCTTTCACTTGGCAGACAAAGAGTTATATAGTTCTCAAGCTCTCATTTCTCCCAGGGAAAAATAAGGCTTGTTCCTTAATACGTTCATAACATGTTTCTGTCACCGGTCTTCATTTTCTGTACATGTTGTGTGTGAAAGAGTCTTAATCATCTGTGAATGCACAGTCTTAATAATTCCATAAATTTAGGTGGAAAGAGCAGTGCAGATAGATCTCTTCTTGTGGATCTTATGTATTGGGTATCCCAAAACCCACCACCGGCACACCTTTTCTTGATCTCTGGTGATAGTGGGTTTGCTGGTGTGTTACACCGGCTAAGAATGAATAACTACAACATATTGCTTGCTGGTCCAGAAAAGGTGTCCGGCTCTCTATACAGTGCTGCCAGTATAATGTGGCAATGGAATGCTTTGCTCAGAGGTGAGGACCTTACTGGAAAACACTTTAATCATCCACCAGATGGCCCCTATGGTTCTTGGTATGGACATTACAAGGCACCCCTTGAAGACCCCTTTGCTGTTATGGAGTCACCCCATACTGAGGACCCATCATCCGATTCCAAGTCAGATCCAAATCCCCGCCCAATCCCAAAGGCAGTATTGAAGTATATTCGCCATATCTTGGGCTCAAATTCCAAAGGAATTCTTATTACAGATCTTCGTGCTGAACTGGCAAAAAGTAATCTGAGTATTGATAAAGACTTCTATGGGTATAAAAAGTTTTCTCGTTTTCTCTTATCCATGCCACAAATTTTAAAGCTACAACCGAGTGGTAATCAACTTCTGGTTCATGGTGTAAATTCAAAAACTTCTGAGCAAAATGAGTGTGGATCATTAGGCATACCTGTTGACCCAACTGGGATCGTAGGAGAGTCACAGAGTGCTGTTTCTCGTAATAGACCGAACAACACTAATATATCTTCTGCTGAAAGCTCAACCGGAACGGTATTACCAACTCCTTACTCTGTACAAAAGGTGGAAACCATGTCACAAAAAGTGCAAGATCCCTCTACTAAAGTCATACAATGTCCTTTGCCGAAGGCACAAGAACATTCTATAACAGAGAAGACACCCCTTGCAAGAATAAATGTTACAAAGACTGAAGTAAGTGGGAGCCAGTTGCATAGTACAGAGGATAGTAGCTCCCATGTGCACTCACAAGGGATTTTAAAAGGATTTTGGAGAAAGTGGTTTGGGGCTAGAGAAAACGATGCAAAAGAGGTAAGCTCTAACAGCTCTGATGAGATACCTGCTGAACAGAAAAAAGTTAAGGAACCAGATGTGAAATTGATGAGTCCGTCCGAAAACATCAAAAGCTTAGATCATTCTTTGCATTCTGGAGCTGAAGAAAAAATAGATGACAAAACCACAGCGAGTTCTCATCAATACATTGTAGATAAGTCCAGCAGAGAATCTGGATTTTTTAATCGTATTTGGAGTTGGTTTGGATCTCGGAAAAGTCCATGTCACGAAGATAACTCAAATCCAGAACCTGACAAGAAAACCACCGAAGATAAACCAGGTTCCCTAACACATGAGATTTTTTCAAAGGATTCATTCTGGAAGGATATGGAGGCTTTCCTGGATTCAAAACAAGGTTCTACCCTTGTTATACATTCAAGGACTAGGTAGATCTTTGCTAGTTATTGTTTTATACTTATATTGAGTGTTCTGTGACCATCATTTCCACTTCTTAAGTTTACTTGTTTTTCCCTGTTCATATACAGTATTGGCTGTATTGGTATTAAACTATTTGCTCACCCAGCCCCTCAAATCCTATAACACATAGGCCAATTGCTACAGTAGCCGAATAACTATTTTTTCGCGCGTCTTATGAAATTATCAGACATGTTCTCATTTGCTTGTCTTCTTTTTATTGGGTTTTATTCACTTAGTATACATTGTATTGCTTCTTTTGGTTTAGTGGGGTCGGATGTACGTAGTCTTACCCTTGTACTAAAGCACAGAGAGACTGTTTCGAGATGACCCATAGTGAAAATCGCGTCGAAAATTGCATGGACTGTCTGCTGCTTCATAACAAAGAAGCGCAGACAGTTTAGTAAGTCATTTTGCTTTATTCCATCATATTCCCAAGCCAAAAAAAATAGTGAGTCGTTGGCTTCTTTGCAAATGATGGAAAACTTTTGTTAATTAGTTATTGTGATAAATTAATTTCCCTTCAAAGTCCAGTTTATATGGTTCTTGATACATTTTGGGGCTTTGTATCAGGTTGCAGTTGTCACAGAATCTTAAAGCTCATGGTCCTTCAGTTCTCAGATCTCTTTGTGACAGTGATCTTCTTCATCTGGTAGACTTGTTGATATCAGATAAGAAGTGGGTGGAAGAACGCATCCATAGGACCTTCCCTTTCAAGCTATCTCAGCCTGCTGTAAAAGCAGTAGTAAATGATGCTTCTTCCCACAGCTCAACTGGGCTGAGTGGGCTGTTTCAACACACCCATCCCCTAACTAATAGTTTGGAAAAGTCACAGGAACAAGATGGAGAGAATAATAAACGCCAAAACCCTCCAAATTCAGTCTCTCCACCTATTTTGGAAGAGAGCTCCTTTGGCGGCAAGTCTAGAAATGATATACTCATTGACTGTATGAAGCTTGTGCAGGATGTCGTGAAGGAATACCCAGAAGGGTACAATGTAGGATCCTTCAGGAAGCTTTTCCTTGAAACACATGGGTATTCGCTGGATTTGCAGAAGCTTGGATATCAGAAGTTGGTGAACCTTCTTAATATAATTCCTGGGATAAGAGTGGAGTCAAACCATATCATTCCTTCTGGTAAAGTGGTTCCAGAAAGTCCAACTACTGATGAGTTTTGTTTTAAAGAAAGCAGTTCTGATAGAAAAATGCTGCTAGATGCTTCAAGGAAGAAGGTTGATTATGATGTTGGTTGCTACTCTACCTGGGCAGAGGAGCTTGGGCCAATTTCAAAAAAAAAGACAAAGAAGGTTGATGAGATTGAGTACGAACCGCTGTCAGATGACGATGATGATGGTTTTTCAGACTTGGATGAAGAGAAGACAAAACCTGAAGAAACTTCCAGAAAAGCTGTTGGAACAAGTAAGGAGGAAGAGAGCTCTTTGTTACAGATCCTTGATTCGTGGTACAGTAGGAAGGAGGGAATTGTTGATGATGGGGAGGTGACGGTTGTTGAATGCTCCTCAAAGCCGCTGTCTTCTTCATCTTCTTCTTCTTCTTATTCTAATGTTGACACTACTTCCACTGTATTGATGAACTCCTCCTCCGGGAAGAGGAGCTGCAGAATGGGGTCAAAGTCGTATTCATTTGTCTCTGATGATCAAACCGGAGATTGCAGAGATGAGGTGCTTGAAGGTATATTGAATAGCCTAAACAAGTCTGAGGAGAAACCAGTTGCTGGCCCGAAAACATAATAGTGCCAAAACAGCAGTTTCCTTATCTTCTAGTAGTACTGTGGTAGTATGGATGATAGCCGTCTCCTCTTTTGGTCCTTTTTGTCTGGGTAGATCAGCTTTATTTTATTAGAAAAATGTTTCTTTTTTCTAATATGAAAATTTTTCAGTAAAGATTGACGATGAGTGGAGTAAATCAGGAAATAAAAAGAAAATTAGGTCACATTTTAGTTGAGCAGGAGAGGAGGACTCGAGCTGCAACCACAATATTGTGTTTTATGCGCATGACGATTCTGATGACTACATTTTTCATCTCACCAGCTTTAGAATACACTGTTTTTCTATGCAAGTGTGCTGAAGCAGAACAGCGAATGACAAAAAAAGTGAAAGTATAAAAACCAGAAATAACAAGGTTTGGGGGAGGGGGGGGGGGGGGGGGGGGGGAGATGGAGAGATGGACAAGGAATGGAGTGAGGGGGCTCGCTTGGAGAAGAGTTTTGGTTTTGTTTCTTTGCAGCAGGTGGAAGGGGTTGGACCGTCGGAGGGGCTTGGGGAGGCTGAAACAAAGGTTGGACCAACATATATGCAGAACACTGGAATGGGTTGTTCTTCAGGCTTTTACACGATCCCTTCAAACCCAGACTTGTCTTTGTGCGATCTTTTGTGAGATAACTCTTGAAGTATTGGTACCTTTAGAAGTTTTTTTACACGTAACTCGGGACCTGTGAAATCCACAACAGCTGCAAGGCCGCAACTCATGCTGATTTTGGATGAAGTTAAATTTTATTTGAACTGGCCTTCATTTAGATCAAAATGTTGAAATTGCTTATAAAAAAGAAACTTCTGTGCCGAAGGCTCTCTAGAGTTGGATTATGAAGACTTCATTGGTTGTACAAGGTCAACATTTAACCTTGTTTTTAAAACAAACGAAGTAAACCGAAAATTAAACATAAAGTCCAGTTTCACCTCCAAACAAACGGACGATTAGAGGAAATGCGTAGAAGCTAATATTCAAATTTATTGATTTCTATATTTTGTGCATTGCATATTTGCATGTATAAGGAGAGGCAATAAGTGCTCTATATATAGCACTTAGGACCGGAATCGATCCAAACCGGTTCGGGTTTCGCCAAAATAAAACCGGAATCAATTGGCGGGTTTTGTTTTTCACATAAAAATGAGCTTTTGGAACAATTTCAAACCTAAACCGATTTTCCTGATTGAGATTTCGGTTTCTCTCTACACCTATTGAAAATTGGCCGATATCAGGCCAATGTCATTTTAAGGAGTTGTACTGACAGCATCTCATGAAACATTAACATACTCCATATATTGTAATGTTTGACTGATTTAACTTACGTAACTCAAATTTAATTTGATTATATAATAACGATTCCTTTGTAGGTTGACAAGGTTCCATACTTCTTGTACTTCTTTCTTGTTCCATACTCATATCCACAATACGATTTGTCTCATTTACTTCAAAACATTATGTGTATACCACCGGATATAAGTGTTCCCAAGTAGGGTAGAAAATAAATTGTGTGATGCAGTTGACAAGTAATCAGGCGATTTAGTTTGTGACACTTTCATATACCCATATTGAGATCCTCTGCCACGTGGCAGATGGAAAATAGGATGGAAAAAATGATGTCTCTAGATGTGGATCTCAAGATCTCCGATCATTGAAATTTTGACCGGACAGTTGCCAAAAGTTAGGCATTGTGCCTTGCTCTAAAACAAGGCAGAGGCTACGAGTCCATTTAATCAACTACACAAATAGCTCATTATGGTAAACCTTATAAATGACAGTGATAAATAATTTTAATATCGCGAATGACAATAAGCGAACGGAAATGGGATCACAAATGTCATGTCATATACTAAGTAATTAAAAAAAAATATTCTACTCTGACGTTTTCAAGATTTTTAAATTCTAATTAGTAATTACTTTTAAGTGTTATATAATAATATTACAGATGTTTTTACTTGGACTGAAATTTGTTGGTTCAGTTTGGTCTGATGTAATCTGAACTGGTCTGCTATGATATAATAAACGTCTGGTCTCTGTGTATTTTATAACTATTCAAGTCTGGTCTGATCTGGTCTGTTGTGATCTGATATGGTCTGGTCTAGGACTGAAAATAGTCTAAGTAAAAATATCTCACGTATCAATTTTCATTATTTGTAGATTATACGTTTTCCTTCATCGGTAAATAGAAAAGAGATAGTCACTTGATGATATGGAAACCCTCTTATCTTCAAGTTGATCTTTAGTGCTGATCCAGCATAAACTCGAGCCTGACAACTCATTATTTGTAATACAGCATCTTTAGAAATAAAAGATTGAATATCACCAAATCTCAATACTTAAAACAAAATTAATAAACACATGATTTATTGGACTCCTTAATCATTAACTCCTCCGTCCCATTTAAAGGTTTCAGTCCACTATTCTTCGATTAACGTGAATTGTTCTTAATTTTTTATTTTATATATCAAACTATTATCAAATTTAATTTTTCTTGATCAGATATTATAAAACTTTTGATATAGTTTCTGAATATGTAAATTTTATTTACTAAAAATAATTTTATTAATGACAGGGATCAGTTCACTTATAAGTAATACTTCATCCGTCCCATAAAATTCTTCTCATTTTCCTTTTTAGAAAGCATTGTGTGGCTAACATTTATTTTCTTACTCAATCATAAACAAACATTTTCACTTTATTCTCATTTTCTTAGACATGAATCTAAATCAAACTGGAAAGAACTTTATGAGACGGGGAGTAATAAACTTTCCATTTTATACTTTCTCCTTTTTGTACAAATGCAAACAAATCATACGTAGTACTACCCCCGTCCCATAAAATAAGTATCACTTCAATTTGAATCGGACTTTAAGAAAGTGAGAATAAAGTGGAAATTTATGGTTGTGTTTGAGTAAGAAAAATGTAAATTAATGTTAGTCACACAAAACTTTTCAAAAAGGGAAATGAGAACAATTTTTTGGGATGACACAAAAAGGAAAGTGAGATTTATTTTATGGGACGGAGGGAGTATATTGTTTGATTAAATGTGAATTGAAAATTGCACAATTTCAATCTTTATTGCTTTTAATTTCAATTCTCTTCTTGACTATAATTTCACCAAGGTACACTCTGCTACTTTTTAAAACAAGGGAGATTCAAGTCATTCAACTAGCTTTTAATTTTAAATAGCATTGTTTATGCAAATTCTTTAAATTATTATTCAAAGTTATTGGGCAAAAGTGTTTGATCCGGTCCAATTAGAAAATCACATGCCCAAGATCTGGAATAGCCCAACCCTACTGTCGGTGTACCAGTTCATCCGACCTACCATCTCTCGCTACCGCTCATCTCTTCCCCTTAGGTCAGACGCAGTCTTCACCGCGCCGGTCGTCTAATTTCCTGCGGTTAGTCGATTCTTACTGTCTTCTTATTTTATCGCCATCTTTTTGGCCGGACACAGTTGCAGATTAACTGCGAGCACGTGGCACATTTTCCCGTGATGACATCATGATGATGATGTCATGATAACGTCATCATTGTCAGGCGGGAACAGTTATCCCATGCGCTCCAGCTTTCATATATACAGAGATAGAGATTGTCTTTAATATTAGGAGTGCGCTTAGAAATGTTTGTTTTTGTTATTGTCCTGGGAAAAGGAGATTTTGTGCTGGATAGCTGCTGTTTGAAAATGGAACATTTTTAGTGCAATTCATAGAGTGAGTACTAGCTGGTTTGGCTTCTCCAATTTTGGGTGTAATAAGTTTTCAGTTTTGTTACTTGAGACCACGAAATAGATATATTTATTGGTGCGGTTAGAGATCGCTGGGATTAACTCTCTGCACAACTCTTACAACTATAGTACATATAATTGGAAACTCAAAAAGAATAGAGATTATGAAGTGCAACATATAATTCAGCGTGATGAGTGCATTTTTACTAGAGAGCTTCTCCTTATTCATGTTAGTGTTTCTTCAGTGAGTTTGGGCTTCAAATGAATTATTATACGGAGTATATTGATATATTGTGGAAGGTTTTGTATTTGTTGTTGCATGATTGATTTGCATACTTCTTTTAACTTATATACTAGTAATTTTTATCTTGAACCCTTGCAAACAGCTATTAAGTAATGCTTCTATATGTTTAAAAAGACAGTAAAGAATAGCAAAAGGCACCTAGATAATGGGGAGTGAAGAAGAAAGTACAGTGAAGGAACCACTGGATCTTATCAGGCTCAGTCTTGATGAGAGAATTTATGTCAAGCTCCGTTCTGACCGCGAACTTCGCGGAAAGCTTCATGTAAGTCTTCATTTTCCTGTTTTGTCCAAGGTTCGAAATTGCGTAATGCGTAGTCGTGGCGTTTTTTAAAATATTGCATATTGCGTAAGCTTCATTGCGCAATGAGACGTATGCTTGAGGCGTAATATATATATATATATATATATATATATATATATTGAAACAATATATTTGTCAAAAGTTGTCAAATGTTATATTGAAACAAACCATAAGTAAAATGTTCAAACTTCAAAGAACCATAGAATACCAAAACTTTCAGAATCGTTTACAAAAAAATCTAAGATATGAGAATTTAAATTAATTAGATTGATCGACTGAAAAAATCCAATCAATAACTAGTGGTTTGAAAATAGGGATCATAACATCAATTATAAAAATTTAAAATTGGGCCGGGTGGACCCAAATAATACCCTTACACCCTGACCTTCTCCTATTGCGTACGCCTCAGAGCGCTTTATTGTGTATGCAATATTGTGTACGCCTCAGTGCAATATTGCGTACGCCACATTCCCAACGCCATATGCAATGCCTTTTATGCCATAGTCTAGGAATTAGCTGAGGCGTGCCATGAGGCGCAATTGCATTGCGCAATTACAAACAATGGTTTTGTCTTATGTAGTTTTTCATAATCTGTGGATTGATTTTAGCCTTCTTTTGTATAGAGATGAAGAAACATGTTTCTCTCTACATTTACATTAGACTTGTTGTTTGTAGTTTAGTTATCTTGGGTTTGATGTCTTATTATTGCTGGTAACTACCAGAAAACTTACACAGAGGCTATGTAGTTTTGACAAAGACTAAAGCTTCTTCAGTCTTTGTGTGATTAAGCATCATTCATGATTAATTTGGGAAAAGATAAGTACTTGCTCCGTAAACATGATGTTATGCTTATCCTTTCAACTCCACATGTAATTCAGTTTTCTTATTTTGAGGTTTTCCATTTGCCTCATTTTTCAAAAAGATTTTTTTAAAAACTTAACAGATGCATTGCGCTCTTTCTTTTTTAACCCTTTTTCTTTTTCACTGTTGTAAGTTAACTTTGAAACTTTGA